TAGTAAAACAAACTCTATTTTGTACCCCCTTACCGGTTTACACTCCTCCCCAAAATTTGGTTTCAATTGGTCAATGTATGGTTATTTTAGAGGGGGTGATAGACGGATGTATAGACTAATGGAAAGTTATAGAATTTTATATATAGATAGATAATTGACCTGTAAGAATAGTCGTAACAAGGGCTTCAGAGTGTATTTTTACAGTGGCACATTCACATCCATGTTTATAATTTAGGCATTTGTTTAATGTGAAAAACTAATCATTTAATACTATAAGAAATAGATGCAAAGGCTTGTAGCATTAAATCAATCAGTGGTAAATGTTACTCTGTTGTTATCAAAAATTGAATTATACCAGCTAAAATTGAGAATATAGTCATACAAGTAACATTTTTTAGTTGTTTTCTCTGTGTTTCTGCTTGTCATAGAAAATCATTGTATATCTCTATATTTGTTACTGTGCTTTCTACTGTAAATAACTTTGTGCGTTTGTATGTGTGACTTTGTACTTGGAGAAAATATTTCCACAAAGGTCATTAAAAGCATTCTCTTTTGCATTAGTGAACACAAGATCATGAAAGGCCATATCTGAAGATAACATTTTACAAGATACTTCTGTCTTTAGTAGGCACTTTTCTGTGGAAAATATTTAGGAATTTGTATATTTATTTTTAACTTGAAACTCAAAAATGAGTTTCATTTGTCAGAGAAAATATTGAACATATATTCTATTATGTGTTCTCCCTCATTTTCATCATTATCATCTTAATAATAATGGTATTTGGAACTGTACCACAAACACTGGATTTGGATGAATTGGAAATGCAAAAAGGGGGTTGAGACTGTACAGACCATAGCATTGTTGAACTCTGTGAATATATGCAGAAGGAAGCTGGGGATTTAAAACTCTTTGGAGATAAGTACCAGACATTTGCATCATCATCAACATGTAATATAATCTTCTTTTTTTTTTTTTTTTTTTTTTTTTTTTACTAGAATTTCACCCAATACAAGCCCCAACAGCCACTCAAGGTAGAGGCTTGCTGAATGAGGTTGGTGATATGATCATGAGAGGATGAAGTAGAAAGTGCAGATTATGAGGATATGGTGGATAGATAACGATTGATCCTAGAGGGGAAGAGGTTAAGATTGTAGCATATTCGGGGAAGCATCTATACAGGAGTCTGTTCCTCAAAGGATCAGTTCTTGAGAAGAAGAAGCTGTCTGAGTGGAACATTGTTCTAACCAATGGATTATACAGAGAATAGGAGAGTGATTCAACCCTGTAGATGTAGCAAGACAAGTATTGGCTGTAAAAGTCTGAGCTGGTGGCACTAAAGAATGGAGCTCATCAGAACATTTGTCATGAAAGTATCAATAGAGTAGAAACAGGTTTACAACATTGTGCCTGTGGGGGGAAAAATAATCATAATAAAGCTAGCATTTGAAGCATAATGTCCTACATTTTGAAAGATTACATGCACATATATATGATGGGATACTGAAAAGTTTTTAGCCCAATCAAGATGAAAATCACATTTGGGGAAGAGGATTAGGCCAAAGAACTCACAACTTGTTAAATTTTTGTTGGATTTTTTTTAAACATGAAATATTTATAAACCAACAATTGACTAAAACACTGAATCCTGAATTAAATATAGGCACTCCACCAATTTTCTGGTTAATTAGTTCCAGATGCCAGAGTATCCATTTTACCAGACCGGCAAAATTCATGTAATAACAATTCGATCATACAACTCTAACTCACTAATTATGCATCTCTTGTATCTCTACTGCATTATCAACCAGTGTAAACAATAATTTTGTCTAGATTAAAAGTGGTGCCAGACCATCAGTTGCTGGAAAATTGACGGTGCACATGCACTAGTTTCATTGTAATTTATGAAATATTTGTTTTAGAACTTATAGAATCAGAAACTAATTTGTCCTATTTACTCTTTTTTTCTATTTTTAAATATTTTGTTAAAACAAGAGTAAACCATTAACTATCTTTAAGCATCTCGCATTTTTTGATGACTACAGTGAATTATTTATTATTATTGTATATATGTTTTTCTTTTTTGTTTTTTAATCAAGTTCACTCTGAGCAAGGCAATAAAGCCACTAAGATACAAAGAGTTACTGGGTGTGGAAGAATTAGAAAACAAACATTAGTAAGGTATGCAAGAACAAAAGAACAGTAGTCAAGAGGACAGTAGATAGCGATTAACAGTGCATTTAAATTCTTGAAGATTGAAGTTGGCTGGAAAGCATGGAGCCAGAAGGGAGTTCCACAAGCTAGAAGTGTGAGAAAAGAAACTGTTAGCATGGAACTTAGAGTTACTTATAGCCAACTGAACTGTAAATCTATGAGACTTTTTTGCCAATCTAGTTCTATGTTTAAAATTCATAAAGTCTAGGTACCATTTTGAACAGTTACCATGAAAGTATTTATAGAAGAGACACAGAAGCAACTTTCCATCAATGGGAAAGTGACTGGAGCCAAGATGCTAGATCAGGACCAAAAATATTGCTAATTCTTCTTTGAATTTTACCAATGACCTCTAGATATATAGTAGGAGCACCAGACCATACGTGGCATCAATATTCTAAGCCTGGACTAATGGTAGGCTTATCTGTGCCTGTTCATTTTTAAGTTATCAATTTAACCAATATACTGCTGCTATTTTTATTTATGAACGTTTCTCTTCATCTATAGGCAGAATATAAAAATATTGCTACATTATAGTTTCTAACAAAGTTCTTAGTTTCTTCTAACTACAGTGAATTAGTTAATTTTTATTAGTTTGTGGTGGAAGAAAAATTGATTGTAAATCAAATCCCCATCCCCATAAAATATTCAGTTTTTCATAAATTATCAGTAATATTTATGTTTCATTTTTTAAAAATTATCCACTATTTTTCTTCAGCAAATTTCATACTCATAATCTGAATTTCCGATGGTAATTCTAGTCTTCAATAGATGGTAACCTTACAGCTCCTTAGTGGATTAAGTCAGAATAGATTGGACAGGATGCGATGAATAAATTGTCGCCTAAATGCCACAAAAATGAAAATAACACTGACATCTCATTTTCACAGATATATTTACCAAAATTACACAAAAATATCTTTAAATACTAAAAAGTAAATCTGTTCACAAAAATCATTATTGGCTTCAATCATGGCCTCTCGACAACTTCAGAATCTCCTGCAACTCTTCTGGACAGTCTCCTTGTTTAAGTTGGTGAATGCTCCCATAATCCTTGCCTTCTTTAGTGTTACAAGGAGTTTTGTTGGTTTCTCACTCAACTGCACCCCACACATAATAATCAAGGGGGTTGCAGTCTGGGGAGTTAGGTGGCCAGATGTAAGGAGTAATGTGGTTGCAAAAATTGTCTGACAGCCATGACTGGGTTCTCTTATGTGTGTGGCATGGTACTGAGTCCTGTTGTCAGACATCGGATCTTCCAGCATTCACCCTCTTCACCCAGGGCAGCTCTACCTCCTCAAGGCACTTGATGTAGGCTGCCGTGTTGAGTCTGAGGCCCTTACCAATAAATTCAGGAGTTCTTTTCTTATCAGAAAGATCATGGTTTCAAGAGCTGCTGTACCTTTGTAATCACCATTAGACACATCCAACTCTTTCCAAGTCATCTGCATTGTCTTCGGATTGACACCCAAACACTTGGAAATGTTCCTATTGGAGCTTCCAGCATGAATGCCAAGCAGTAAAGCATGTCATTTCCAAATTTCTGATGGAGTTAATTGTATCATGGTGCTTTTTTTCTCACAGACAGTGCCCAACTGACCCTACTATACTGTGCAGTGGACAAAATCAAAAACACTATGTATACACAAAATTAAAAATATAACAATAATTTACCCATCTCACCCTGTGTTTAAAGAAAATTGCTGATTTTTTTCCCCTCTCTTTAATCAAATGTTTGGCAATCTGGTCCCTCTAAAAAGAAAGTTAAATTTTTATTTTCTTTATCTAGGAACTCAATTCATGGCATTAAGAAGCTCCTAATCCACAATCTCTAATCTCATTAGTAGTGTGTGTGTGTGTGTGTGTGTGTGTGTGTGTGTGTGTGTGTGTGTATAAAAGTGAATACTGGGGTTCACATCAAGTGATGACAATGTTTGATGCTTGAATGCAATCTTCAGGCCATGTATACAGGATGCAGCAGATATATTTCCCACATAATAAGATATTAATGGCAATGATGTCTTCATCTTGCTAATGTCTTACTATTATGTAGGAGGTATTTTTGCCTCAACCTACAACAAAGATAAGGTAAGAATGGTTTCTAAATATAAAATATTTTTATTTTCATGTTTTTACAACTAAATTTTTCTCAACTTGTATGAGTGTTCTTGCAGTCCTTGTTTATTGTTTAACCAAAATATACTGCTGCTATTTTTAGTTATGAACTTTTCTTGTTAAGAAGAAAAGAAATGTGATTTCTTCATGTATATGTGTGAGAAAAAAGAGGCATGGGAGAAAGTGAGGAGGAAAGGGAGATGCATGTTTTTTTTTATTGTCAGCAGGAACACAAAGCATTGGTTGAAAAATGTAAATATTTATTTTCAAAGAATTAATTTATTAATCAGAAGGATGAGCAGATCTTGATTCAGAAAATATTTTTTTGTCATTTGATGATTGACTGTCTTGGTGTTTGTTTCTGTCTTCACTCGACATATACACCACCTCTGAAGTTTTCAATGTACTTCATTCATTTCCACTTTAAAACTTCCATTTTCTCAAAAATGAAGTCGCAAAAAGGAAAAAATGATTTTTTGAAAAAAAAAAACAACATAAACAAAAAAAGCTAATTTAAAATATGATTTTACATGTCACCTTTTTATAATATAAACATACGATACATACTTTAATGTTTCTTTTATTAGGGCTACAAATTGATCATTTATTCGATTCTTCATCTTTATTTACTTATTCTTTCAAATTGGAAATTAATTTCAATGTTCTTTTTCAGGTATTGAGTCAGTATGCCATTGACCATGCAGGCCTTCCTCTGCAAGGACTAAGCTCTCTATGTCCAAATGTTGTAGACTTAGACTTATCCAGCAATACCCTGGAGGACTGGGCAGAAGTATTACCTCTCATTGCACAACTCCCCAGCCTCAAGTTTGTTAACCTTAGCCACAATAAACTCAAGAACTACAATGTGAGTAAAAGTTTAAGTAGATCATATTTACAATTCACAAATAAATTTGATTTAAAGTCAAATTGAGAAAAAAAAAAAGGAAAAAAAAAACACCTTTGACAGTAAGTTCATGAAGCTGATATATTTTTCATGGTGCACTAATTAAAAACTGACTCATGTAAATTGTTTAGCTTTTTAAATTATTATAATTTAAATACAATAAATTGTAGCATACAAGTCAACTTCAAGATTCTTAGCTCAAAATTTTGAATTAAGCCCATATCTATTGTATAAGTTGAACCCCCCCCCTACGACCGCCACCACTGAAAAAAAACAAACACCAGTGGGCCAAAACTTAGGTCTACCAGTAAATGAAATTAGGCTACATTATATGATAACCTGTGCCCAAACTACATAAGGTCACACCACTTACCTGTATATTGATTGAGATATTAACTGTAATATCTTTCTGTATGCAGTGTATAGCAAACAACCTGCAACACATACGATACATTGTATTGGTATAACTTAGTGAACATTTAATTAATGAATAGAATACTGAATTTGTGTTACTATTTTATTATTTTATTTAAATTTCTGTGTTAATATGCCAAATATGTTTACCAAACACAAGTTTTAGTGAGATATATTTGTGGCAGCCTGCTGGAAGTGCAGTAAGTGATGTACAGTAATTGTTAGGAGTGCTGCCCCACTTGTTTACAACTCAACCCCTAGTTCTGGAAAGATTTTTAAGCTTGAAAACTTGATTTGTATGCCACAATTTATGGTAAGTTATTTCATTTTTAAAGCCAGATTAAGATTTAATTTTCTGCATAACTTTAAGGAGTTATAAACATTCCAAGTCCTGTTCAAACAACTGAACTCTTCATTTAAATTCTTTATGTTGTTAAAAATGACTGTTTTTGCCAATTCATTGTTAAGCTTTCTTTCAGTAAGAAGAGAGGGGAAAATGAACTTTATTTCTTCAGAAAATGGCAACAGAAACATGATGATGCCAATGAGATCAGTCTATTTTGGCAATGCTTAATCTTCTATGTGCCATCTCCCTTCAGGACATGGGTGATCATGGCTTTCCATAACTTTGTATCCTTTGTAACTCTAGACAATGTTCGTCTTTTTACTATCCCTTCCATTCCCTGTTCTGCAATCCAGCTACATAAGCTCATTAGGTAGGGTTATTCACTGTTTCCTTCTGTCCATATTGCTTTCAATGTATCCTGTGAGTGTCAAATTTTCCAAGCCATCTTTCCTCATGTCTCTCTTTTTGCATAACAGCAATTATTATACCAACTAGATGGTTGGTTTAATAATCACTATTTTTCTGTTACATTTTCTGAAGAAATATGCTTAATTTTTCCCCCTATACAAATTATATATGTGACAAAGGCTGAAATGTGGTAAAAATATCAAGAAAAGAAAAGGACTTTAATTGTTCAAATAAGTCAGAAGATTCCATTTTAATGTTAAAAAGAATTGACATTTAATTCACAATTCTGTTATAAATGATATTCCCCAAAAATTCACTTCAAGCTTTCTGATTGCTAAAATAAGATCTTTCAAATTTAGTTACCTTTTAACTTTAACTATTTTTACAGGATTCCAAATTAAAATAAATCTGAAAAATTTGAATTTCATTTAAACAAGCAGAATATTATTTTCCAAGTATTACATTGAAATATAATGTATTTAAAATGTTGTGCAATGAACATCTAAATATTTAAATTTTAAAATTTATTCTGATTAAATATCAATTTTGCTATTTTTCCCATTTAAATATTGTATTGAATGTTATTTTTTAATTTGTATTTATTCTTCTCTCAGAATTATGTTCAAAATTGGCTCTTACCACTTCCTACAATAGAAAATTTGGTTCTGAATTCAACAAACACTAATTGGGAAGATGTATTGTGTTTAAGTCAGCATTTGCCTGCTCTGAAAGATCTGCATCTTTGTAAAAATGGTTTGTTTCATTTTTATTTTCTCAACTTTTGTCCATCTTTCTTTATATATTTTTCCTGCCTGGCTAAATTAGTTTTTTTTTCCCATAAACAGAAATAGCATGTCTTAAATTTGTTCTTTAGATATTTTTGCATTATTAAAGACATATTTTTATAGTTGTAACTATTACATTTTATTATCGTTTAATCAAAAAATTTAAATCATGCTATTAAAGAAATTTTGGGTTCAATTTTGAGAATAGCAATTTTAACTCTTTGATAAATATAGTAATAATTCATATAACAATCATTCTCCTTGTGTGTTGAGTGGTTGGCTTTAAGGATCAAACACTAGGCTACACAAACCCTAATCCAACTGAGCGGTTTTTCCTTGATATAATTCTGATTAAACATAAATTTATTGCAAACATCAAGGTCAATATTTGATGAAATAATTAAAATTATAACTATTCTATAATTGTATAATTATTAGAGTTTTAACTAATTTTTTATAGCTGAGAGGAATTTTTTTATGTGTGGGGTGTTTTGTTTTTTTAGTTTTTTTTTTTCAGATCCCCTTTGTGGGGTTCAGCGTACCCGGATTAAAGGAGAATTTAATACGGGATACCCTGCCCACAAAATACAACGCAAATTTCAAGAAGAAACAACACGATAAGGAACGCTTATAAAAAATAGAACATTGTATATTTATTATCTTGTGAATAGGGTAAAAAGGATTAATACTTTAGTTCGTTTAAGCAAAAATGTGATTTTGATAAAAATGTCTGTGTTCGTTGTCTTTTAACAGAGTAGCAGAATAATGTCTGTTTCTTTTGTTTTGTATAGTTGTAAAATGAAAAAAGGGCAAAGCAATTTAAGTTAAAAAAAGAGTGTGAATGTGGAATAAAGATGAAAGGAAAATGTACTTATGAATTGTTTTGAAGCCAGTTGTAAATTTGTTGTTGTTGTTCCTTCCTACTCCACTTTTCGGGTTGAGTCAGTGATGAAATTTACTGTCAATCTTCTGTGATCTTTTGCGCCCTTCTCTGACTGACTGACTGGTGACTGACTTGAAAACTATTTATTGTTGACTTTTTTTTCACACTGGCTCGTTATCGTTTTTTTTTTTGGTTTAGCAAATCGCCTCCTTTCATTGGTCAGAAAATTAATTTTACACCTTATTGTGAAATCTGTTTTTGGTCGTTTTTGCGGGTGTGCAAATCTACTTTGTGTTTTTTTTGTCATTTGTTGGAATATAGGATTTGTATCCTATAAACCCCCCTCCAGATTGATAAATATTGAAAATATTTTTCAATATCTAATATATGTTTTAAAATGAGTAGGCCAGTGTACATGTCTACCCAATCTTGTGGTAATGTTTTTAGGTATGTTTGGAGGTTTAGAAAATGTTTCACTTACGTTGGTATTTGTCTCGGCTGTAGAATGTTCCAACGTACTTTCCTTTGTAGGTAAATCCAAGTACGCTGGTTTTAGTCTGTCTATAGAGACAGTGTCTTGCTTGCCTTTTGCTACAATTGTGAAATATTTGGGTTTTCTGTTGACTACTTGGAAAGGTCCCGTATAAGTAGGGCAAAGAGGCCTTTTTACTGTGTCGTTTCATACAAAAACATATTCACAATTGTGGAGGTCTTTTGGAGTGTAAAGGTCTTTTGTTTGTGTTCTAGTGGGTGTGAAAACTAGTTCATTCATTCTTTGCTTAAATCTTTGTACAAAAGATGTAGTTGGTTGGAGTTGACTGGATTTATCACAAAACTGTCCTGGTAACGTCAAGGACATTCCAAAAACCATTTCGGATGCTGTACATCCTAAATCTTCTTTGATTACATTCCGAATGGATAGTAATATTAGCGGTAGATTTTCTAACCACGTCTTAGAATCATTATTTGCAGTTAATGCTGTCTTAAGTTGCCTGTGGAAACGTTCAATTAAAGCCATTGGCACATGGGTTATAAGCCGTTGTTGTTATATGCTTAACTCCCAATAGTTTTGTGAACTCATCAAAGAGCGAGATTGGAACTAAGAACCTCGGTCTGTAGTTATTACTGAGGGACAACCAAAAACGGCAATCCACTCATGTAATATACTTTTTAGAGATCGTTTCTGCAGATATATCCTTAGAGGAACAACGACAGGCCATCTTGTGAATCGGTCAATAATAGTGAGTAGGTAACTATGTCCGTTTACTTCTGGTAAGGGACCCACTATGTCCATGTGAAGATTCATGAATCTACCATCTGGTTTTAGAAAATGCCCAGGAGGGGACTTAGTATATCTGTTTACTTTGCTTTTTTGGCACTTTAAACAAGTTTGAGTCCAGCGTTTTATGTCAGTATGCATGTTTGGCCAGACAAAACGACTGCTAATCAACTTGTCGGTTGCTTTCGGTGTCCGGGATGAGAGATTGTGAAAATGCAGAAATATCTTTTTTCTCAATGAAGGTGGAATATATGGTCTTGAATAACCAGTCCCAACGTCACAGAGTAGTGTTTTTGTTCCAAATGGGACGGGGTGTTCCTTCAATTGTAAAGAAGTGTCCTCTTTTATTTTGTATAATGTGGTATCTTCCTTTTGTTCATCTGCAATGAGGTCGAAGGTAAGGGTTTCAGAATCGATGGATTGTATTGTGGAGCACGAGAGTGTATCTGCCACGATATTGTCTGAACCTTTAATATAGCGGATATCCGATGTAAATTGGGATATGTAGTCCAGTTGTTGGGTATCTCTGGGTGTGTATTTATCTGTGTTCACATGTAAAGCGTAAGTGAGGGGTTTGTGGTCTGTGAAAACAGTAAAGTTTCATCCCTCGAGCAGATGTCGAAAATGCCTTATTGCTAAGTAAATAGCTAGTAACTCTCTCGAGAAGGTACTGTACTTCTGCTGTGCTTTGTTTCATTTGACCGAGAAAAAGGAGATTGGCTTTTCTGAACCATTTAGCTTCTGATGTAGAACTGCTCCAATTGAATCTCCTGAGGCGTCAGTTGTCAATGTAAGTGTTGAGTTAGCATCGTCACTGATGTAAGAAAGTTTGGTAAAATCTGCTAACGCTTTTTTAGCATTTTGAAATGCAGCTAACGCTTCTCCATCAATCAGTATTTTTGCATTTTTCTTCTTCTGTTTTTGCAGCAAGTTTGTGAGTGGGGTCAAAATTCTGGAACAACCTGGAATAAATCTACGGTAGTAATTTATTAAACCGAGAAATCGTCTTAATTGACGCAGTGATGTCGGCTGCTGAAAGTTTTGTATTGCTGCTAATTTCTCTGGGACAGGTGTGATTCCGTTTTTGTCGATCACATGGCCCAAGAAATTTAACTTTGAAACAGCAAAATCACATTTGTGGACATTTATCTTTAAAATGTGCCAGTCTCTCGAAGACTTGTTGAATATGGTAGAGGTGTTCTTTTCCATCACGACTGGCGATAAGCATGTCATCGATATATGCAAAAGTAAAAGGCAATCCTCTCAAAACTTCATCAATGAGTCTTTGAAAGGTTTGGGCGGCATTACGTAACCCAAATGGCATCCTGGTGAATTCATAGAGTCCAAAAGGAGTGGTAATTGCAGTTTTCTTTATGTCTTCTTCTGCTACTGGAATTTGGTAGTACACCTTAACCAAATCCAATTTTGTAAAAACTGTGGTTCCTTGCAAACCTATGGCGAAATCATGTAAGTGCGGTATAGGATATTTATCAGGAACAGTTTTTGCATTAAGATTCCTAAAATCCCTACAAGGTCGCCATGCGCCAGCTTCTGGTTTCGGAACCATATGTAGCGGAGAGGAGTATGGGCTATTTGAAGGACGTATGATGCCTAACTGCAACATGTGTTGAAATTCGTCTTTTGCTATTTTATATTTGTCCGGATGTAATCTGCGTGGTGATGCGTGTGTAGGTGGTCTAGCTGTGGTGATATAATGTTTAGCAGTATGACGGATTTCATCTGTATGTGTTAAAGAACACAGGAAACTCGTAGGTTCCCTTTAGTCCCACAGATACAATGCATCTCTTACATGTGTCACTCATAGATCTTGCTTCTACATATTCAATATTAACAAATTCATCTTTTATTTTTAGGCTACACTCACTTGGATTGTACCAATTTGGATAAATTGCACCAAGTTGAAAGCATGTGGCTCAACGATAATCATTTAAGTTGGTAGGTTTGGCTTCTTTTTATACTATTTATCTGGTTTGAAGTAAAAAATAATTTTGACTGTATGAAATGAAAATTATTACAAAAACCTTCAGAACCTTTTCAATATTTTCAATTTTTACTTCAAGGAATTATTTTCTTTTTAGTCAAAAACTTTCATCACTAATAACATTAAAAAATTATGAAATCTCTAAGTTTGTCAACTAAACCTCTGTCAAACTAAATTGACTTGCTAATAATTTAGCTGTTTATTCTTTCTTACAATCTGACAACACTCAACTCCCCTACAGATCTACAGTATATGTAATCTTTACAGTTAAGACTCGCTATGCTACATCCATGGTATCAAGTCACCCTCATTTCCCCTGTATTCTAATTGTAAGGAAGATGTTTCACTCAGACAGCTTTTTCCCAAAAACCACTACTTTATAGAATTGAATCTTGCATGGATGCTTCCCTGAACACTGCAATTTTAATTTCTTCAAGTATAGGTTCAATAATCTTCATTTTCTACTACTGCCTCTTTCAATCATATCACATACATCATTCAGTAACCCTCTACCTTGGGTGGTTCTCGAGCCTTGGACTAGGTGAATTTTAATTTTTATTAGAAAATGTAGCCTATTACATATTACAAATGAAGTTGAATCTTTGGCAAACCAGTTTTTGTTTTATTTAGTTAAACTCAACAATGTATGATACCTTTCTGGTACAATTCACTATTACTTGCAAATACAGTTGTACATTAACTTCTGGTGTCAGTATCCAATTGAAGAAAACATCAAGTTTAAATAAGTTGTTGAGAAAGTCTCAATATCTTTGTTTCATATCTAGAAGTTTATTTTTATTATCTATTTTAATAAAATTAAAAAAAACATGCATTTAATTTTGAATTTCATAAATTTATTATCTTTCATGAATATCCTTGCTGTTAAAAATGTTTGGTTTTTTTTTTTTTTGCTTTTTTTTATATTTCTTTAGCAATATTGAAGATAATTTTGATAGTAATATTATTTCTATATTACAACTTTAGTTCACCACAAAATAGGTCATCTGGTTCCAGAATTCCTATCTAATATATTAAGAAAGCTATAACAAAGTAATAAGAAGCAGAAGTTTCTCTCAGTATTCATTCATTAAATTGGGGTTTTAATACTTCCACTGCTGTGGACTTATACAGCTTTACAAAACTTACATTGCCTGCTGTACACACACACACATACATACATACATACATACATTTATATTTGTAGTGATATATAAATGAACTGCCTAATTAGCATACCTAAGGCATAGAGACAATATAAATGTCCAAGTAGTAAGGGGAGGGGCAGAATATGATACACAAGATTAACAACTACTGCTGAACTGAGAAAATATGAAGGAAATTATATTTATTTAATATATAACTGTAATTACTATCACAAAATAAAAGTTTGTATTTAGAAATACAAAAAAATACAAAAATTCTTCTCTCTGACTAAAAGGAAATGAACATAAATAGTCTTTCAATAAGGAAGAGAGAAAGTGAAGTTGGGAGACAAAATCAAACAAAGTCCACTGTTGATTTGGTGAGAAAGACAGGACGACGAGATTGACTTATGTCTCTTTACTGCTATTAGTCCATTCTGTTGAGTTGAATAGATGTCTGGTTTATATGGCTTCACGTAGGCTCCAGAAGCCTATGTTTATTTATTGGTGAGAGCTGATTTCATTGGCTATTCTTTATTTTTATTAATTTAAAAATTTGAAATATGTTTGAAACCAGAAGGCTTCACAGAGCCTTTGCATGGTGTATTATTTTTGTCATTTGAAACAATTAACTTCCACTTACTCTACAAGTTAACAGTGTAAAATATTCCAATAAAACTTCAGCCATGTGTAAGAAAATCTATAATATATACAAGTCTTTTTATTCAAAAAGGAAATTGGTAATCTTGGTTAAAATGACTAAAATCTCTCTCACAGAAACTTTTTAAATTTGGTGCCACTGAACTGAAATAACAATTATATAAAGATAGATGTATAAACAATGAGATGAGGAAAAATGACCATAACTAGCAATAAAACATTGAAACTAGACAGTTGATTTAGTGAGACATAATAGTAACAAAGTCTTTACTTGAAATTACTCATCTTCATTTACTGTTCTGGAAGACTTGTTTTCTTAATGCTCTGTTCATTTTCAAAAGTGTCTTAAAAAAGTAACAAGTCATACAATCTATGCCATTTTCTTACCCATCAATGAATCACATTTGAAGAAAAAGAAGAAAAGCATTGTATCTTATACTGGTTATTTTCTTTATTTAATTATTTATAGAAGCTGGTGTGTGTGTGTGTGTGTATTACAATGAATCATTTATACAAAAAGTAGATAAGTAAAGTTAATGATATAAAATGGTGAAAACTCTTCGCAAACAAAATTTTAATGTTCCATTAACCTACGAACCACTCGATGAATGTTAGGATCCTTGTTTTTAATAACTACAAGTTGTATAAGGTCTTTTTTTAATCTGCTAGTACTTTCAACTGTACATTCAGTCATCCTCAGGCATGGAAATTATTTTGTTTTTAGTAAATCAAAGTTGCATTGCAGACGAAAGATTAAATGCAAATTGAAATATGCTTTTTAGAAATGTGTTATTGTTAATGGATAAAAACTTTTGGAGCGTGCGGTTGAATGACAGCACCAAAAATTGGAAAAAAAACAATTGTTTTTGCACGAAATCAATTTGAAAACAGGATTAAGAGGTATTAATGAAAGGGGGACAACTCGTATCGAGTTATACTTATTAATATCGAGTTATCGAGTTATACTTATTATAAAACCCAGGTTGGTTGGTTGTGTGTGTGTGTGTGTGTTCATTTATATATAGGATCAGATTTCCTACATTTTTCAACCGATTTCAACAAAACTCACTTTTTTTTTTTTTGGCAGGTAGTGTTTCTTATTGTCTTGCACACTTTTTTCTTTTATTTTTACATTCAGAATGCTTTAAAAATTCCATTTACAAGACAATTGTTTATAATAAAATTCTATTCAATCAGTAGACTCATAACGATTGAAAACAATGTTTTTGTTTGAGTTTGGGTTTGACCAATTCATAAAAAACAAAAACAAAAAATAAAACTAATTAAGACATGCGTGTCTGTCAACCTTAAACAATAATCTTTGTCAATTTTATTTTTTCAGTCTTTATGATGGTCGATACTTGATCTATCTCTTACTGTTACATCCGGGCAACACGGGCTCTACTGCTAGTATATATATATATATATATATATATATATATATATATATATATATATATATATATATATGCTTTAGAATTGTATGACCTGAAATGTACTTAAGAACTATTTATTACTTTTTAATTAGTGTGTTTAATCAAAAAAAAAAGAAACCTATACTATAGATATTACCTTACTATAAATTTCTAAATCTTTTTTTGTTCATCTGTCAAAATATTACTGAAAGATGTTGAGAGCTATGACCACCAAATTCCTTTAATCAGAACACAGAGCATGTTTTTAGCATATTAGTTTTTGAAAATTCTAAAATTTTTCACAAGGGGTTAATTGTACAATGCAAGTATAATGTGGAACCTTACTTTGTGTCCTTTCTATTAGCTAAACTGAATCTATATTTTGCTTAACTGCATAAACTAGAGATCTAGCTGAAACTTTCTTAACTAGAATGCTAAAATGTGCGGATTTGAAATCTTTTGCGAAATCACCTCACATATTTAATTTAAATGTGACACAAGACATTATGATGGTAATGATTTTCAAATATGGTAGAAGTCAATAAATACACAGTTTAAATCTATGATATCTTATTGGAGCCAAAGGCTTCAGTTAGGTCTTCCACAGAAACAAGCTTAAAATGCTTAATCTTTATTATAATAAAAAATAATTAAAAAAACCAGGTTTCCTACTGTGGATTCAGTTTTTATAAGATAACCAAAAAGTCCTTGCTGTTTTTTTTTACATCATGTGGGGGAAAAAGTGATCATTAATATGCAAATGAGTGCATCATGTCCTGGGAAAGTAGTGGAGTGGGAGTGGGGGGTTTAGCATTGCTCTTTAAATTTTAAAAATCTAATAACATGGATATTGAAAATATGTCAATACAAAACAAATATCTAACTCCAAAGTCAATTATATACAAAGAAAGTCTTTACTAAATGAGCTAAAACACTCTTTCCAATTTATTATAAAATTGTTATTTTGGTTATTGCTATTCTCATGACATAATCAAGATGCTGGTGTTTTATACTATCTCAAACAAAAGGCAAGGAAGGACACCCCCCACACCGCACTAATACTGGAAAGGGCAATAACAGCTGCTGGACTTGAGAAACCTATTTTCCTGAAAAATTGTATAAAGAGAGATTTTTTAAATTTCAACTGATGTTAGCAATGGCTGCTCAGTGAGTGAATGCCAAATGTTTCCTTATAAGGAAACAGCTAATTTTACTATTACCAATACTACATGCTTTTCTCTTAGGTTGAATAATGTTTTTTAGAAACTCAAATTTGATTTTTACTTTTACCTAAAGATATTCTTTGGTTTTATTTATTGATTTTTAGTGAGGTGAAATAATTTGGTTTTGTCATTTTTAGTTTTTATCAGTCATTTTAAAGAATTAAATTTGAGTTACTGAGAAAAAAAAAAGCTGTAGCTCATTTGGCAAAGATTTTTGTCATGTAACTGATACATTGTTGATATATATGAATAATGAATTTTTAGGAAGTACAGTCAGAATTACTGCTGTTTTGCTTTTCTTGGGATGATTAATTTTTTTTACAAGTATAGCATTAGTATTGACTTTTTTCTTTTTGTAAAACTATAAATTGCATGATTGAACAAAAGTGGTTTTTATCACCATCTGGTTTGTTGTGTCCTTTAAAACTGAAATAACTTGTTTGCAGAAAGAAATTTGGATATCAACCAGCATTTATTGACACCTTGACTTTTGACAGTCTGGTTTAAAAGTAGA